GTCTTCTTCATCTTTCTTGATGAGTTCAAAAAGTCGTTTGAGTAAGATCATCCAAGTCTAAGATTATTGCCGTGGTTGGCAAAACCACCAACTGTCTTCAACAAAAAGTAGTTTATGAAAGATCATCTCGAGTTCATGTAACCATCTTTAGTTAGTTAGAACTAAAGTAGAGGTTACTCTAAATATTGATATAGATACTTTAGTGTGCACTAGTCATAACTGCCACGTCAGCAATCCGCGCACTTGGTAGTTACAGAGTGGATGTGTTAGTTGACAGTGTCACGTCAGCAATCCGTGTGCTTGTAGGTAAGGATTAAGTGTGTTAGTTTGAAGCGCCACGTCAACGATCCGTGAGCTTGTTAGGGTTATCTGCCACGTCATCCATCCACTAGGAATGGGATGGATGGTGGGGATAAGATCTTATCTCCTTGTATTTGTTAGTGAGAGCTATATAAGGGAGAGAAGAACCATTGTTGGTATTTCTCATCTTCAGAGTTTACGTTTGTATCTTTGAATGAGCTTCTCTCTAAACCCTAGTGTTACAGTTCAAGGCTGTCACCATGGTTGACTAAGTCAAAGGAAAGAAAGTTTAATACAAGCTTTAACTTGAGAAGTCTTGCTACATTGCCAAAACTCAAATAAAAAAGCAAGAATACCATAACTCTACGTCACCTTTCAACATTCAAACCAACCAAAGAGTACACCAACTTACATCTTCATGTTTCTTGATGAGTTCAAGAAGTCGTTTAAGGAAAATCACGTTGTTAATCACAACGTGATCTCTCACCAACAGTGGAGAGTTGCAGAACACTGAAAAACACTTTGTGTTTTTCATCCTTTTGACAATTTGGGTACCACGGGCTTGATCTATTTACCATATTTAGAAATAAACATTGTAATTTATTGTATACACAGTTTTGATATCCTCAAAATTAATTCTATTCATCAAAGCTATAGGCTATCATGAGGAGTATGTTTTTTATTCATCCGAGAAAACAAAAAATTGTATCTGTACTGAAAAACACTAAAGTGAAATTTTTTAATATTTTTGTAGTGATGTGTTAGAGAGATATCAAATGCTTGTGATATTAGTAGTTCTATGTAAAATTTAGTAGTAAAATTAGCCCAAAAAAATTATCAGTATTACAATTTTGTTAATTTCATCTATCATAAGATATAACAAAAAAATTATTTTTACAAGAATTTTGTGTTTGAGTTTAATAAACTAAATTTAAAATTTTAATTTTAATTGATTTATTTATTTATTGAAGAAAATAGTTTAAACATCTACATGTATATAATTTTTTCATCTATTTTTCAGTTTGTTGATCAACTATATGTGTAGTCATCAAAAGTCAAGTGTTGTACTTATGATAAAGTTGAATCAATTTTCTATAAAAACACAAATTTTTCCAAATTTTGTTCTAAGTCCTGCACCCTATATGGGGAAAGTCCAGTAACCGAAAGCAGCACTAGCTTAGGCTCTAACCCGAGTAGCATGGGGCACGTAGAATCCCGTGTGAATGTTAATGCATGAATTTTATGTACATAACATATGCAATAAAGTTAATCATATTTATTTCTTTATTTATTTACATTTGAATAATTTTTTTCATAATTGATAAAAAACAAGAAGATTGCTCTTTGTTATTGACTCTGTGTTATCAAATCTTGGAAATCAAATCAATAGTAAAAATATCAAAACTGTAGATTAGATTTTATAAATATGTAGAAAAAAATTATATTTTTACTTTAAATAATTACTATTGCATCAATATAATCTTTTGCAAGTAAATATGATATAATACAACTTAAAAATTTTAGCACAACATTCATGAAATAGACATTGCTTGTAATATAGAGTAAGTATGAGGTATAATGATTATGCGTAGAGAAAAAAAAAGGGGAAATTTCCTTTTAAATGTGCATTTTGATATAATCTTCCTTCAATTGATATGAAATAAAGCATTACATTACATCACAGTTGTTTGATAATAATGTTTAAGATTGATAATATGCTATAAAATAATTTTTAATTTTAATAAAAAATCATCACTCTTTCATCAATCTAATCTCATCCCACTTGATCCCATAACAATAAGACTTTGATCTTATTGAAGATCATTTCAATTGATTTTCTAGATAAAGATGATCCAACCAGGAGGAATGAAATTTTTGATGTCTTAGACAACAAGAAAAATTTAAACTTTCCACTTGAAACTAAAATTATCAAAACTGTCAACTCTGTTAAAATAATTATATTTATCTTGGAAGAAATATGTGTGGCAAAGAAATATACATCAAATCCCTTCACACTATCACTGAACAAAAATTCCATCACTTGAAATAAAGTCAAGACTTTAAAGTTTGATTCACGTTGGATTCAAGCCATAATATGTATATTCTTCCGATATTGAGTGAATTTTCATATGATCTAATGGCTTAGTTAAAGTTTGATTTTTGTTGGATTGAAGCCATAATATCTATTTTCTTCCTAAATAGGATGAATTTTCATATGATGATTATGGCTTAGGTATTGGCTTGACAATATTAATCTATCATCCGTGTACATCTCCAACCATAAAATCCTAGATTATTTCGCAAGTATTAAGATGAAAAATTTCGCTAATCATAATATTTGGATGTGGATGTAAACATTCATCAATCATAAAACCATATTTCCACATTGTTCACCTGAATTCATTCTTACAGCTTTCACTTTTTTTTACCTTAAAGTTTTTACTTTTTGATTCACCATATGTTCAGCACATCATCTTATCGATTGATCTAAGAATGATGGCAATGAATTTTAGTTTACTTGATATCAAACGAATTGAACGTAAGTATACAAATATAATCCATCAAAGTCACAATATCTTAATGAGACTTAACGGCAGAAACTGTGATCCTGATATCTAATATGAACTCTTTCACCTGAGGCCTATGCCCTCTAATTGCTTTCTCGGACCTGACCACATGTATGGTGCAAGTGGCACTAACTGAACTATCAGCTGAATGTTGTACGTGCTTCCCCATGCATGAGTGGCGATAACCTCCACTAAGTAAACAATTTGTTAAGCCATTCTGAAGCTGGTTCTGAAGACCCCAGCATGGCTGTGGCATCTTCAAGTTGCTTGACAGCTATAGCTATATGACATGGAATTCTGGCGAACACATGACGCTTAGATGAACAAAACCCAACAGTTCAACGGAGCAAAAGCGAGGCAGCGCAGAATGTGCCCATTCTCTTCAGTTTTCCCACTTTCGGCGACAGGAGGGTGCAGATATCGCTCGGGTAGGTCCAGGTCTAGACGACAGGTAGTATTTGGTCATCGCCAATTGATTGCACCAGATTTCCCAGCTCACATGTGGCCCAGCAAACGGAGTGCTTGTGCCAAGTGACGGTCGTGGTGGGGTGCCTTTCCTGTCTCATTTCTGCTGCTTGCTTTCAATCCTCAATCCGAGAAAGTTCACAACGTAATCGTACCTCGTCGAGCTTTATCGAATATGAGCCCAAGGTGTGCTTTGCTTTGACAGTCTCCACTTCGTGTGGGACCGGTGCAAAAGGGAAGCCTCCACACCGAGTCGAACTTTCAAGTCTCTTCCATGCCACGTCAGGTCATGACCAGTCTCATCTCGTCTCGTCTGCCGTGGGCGTGTGTAGGTAGGAAGGGAAGCACACGGGGTCAAGTTGTTGGCGTGTGCAGACGCACACTCGGTAAAGATTGTCCTACCATCGAGGCAGGCTCCTTTCCGCCATCCACCTTGTTCTAGAGTACAGTTGTGGTATGTTTACACGTCCAAAGAAAGAATCTATCTGATTGTCTGAAGGCGGCTGCCGATTCTTTGGGAGTATCCCACCCGGTCTCCTACCAGTGGAATTGTCATACAAAAGCCATACCACGGACAGTTAAAAGAGCAGCAAGTTACATCCAGGTGAAGACAGATCAAAGCACACGCTAGTCTGAGGGCATACTAAGGCCGCGACGAACGACCGTCCAATTGCCGGTGACAGGCAGGCCTTTATTGGATATTGTGTGTTGTGGTACAAGATGACGTTAGAAGGTCCTGTAGTTGTCCCATGGCTCATAGGAAGGAATACCTGACGTCTTCCTTCTTCTCGATGGTAGGAAGTAGGTTCTTACTGATCCATGCATAAAACATGACGAGTCCAAAACTGGACTTCGCTCAAGGGTGTGACATCTCTAGTCCTACATACCCGACAACTAGTTTTAGAGCGAGGAGGTTGTACTGCGGCTTTGTTCTTTCTGCAGACTTCTGTTGAACGTCTCCTCCATGACCTAGTGCAGGAGTCACACAGACGGACCGAGTTCTATCCGTCGACGAAAAGGGGCACGCGTTGATTAGAAAAGCGAGGGCTCGGGAACGTAGTCAGCGCTTAGTTGTCGGTTTTATACACGATAGATTCTTCTGACCATAAACCAGGTGTTGACGCTGCATGAGACTTAAAAGCATGTACAATTATATGGTCTCCTGCTTCAAAAGAAACCTGCCCGGAGGGAGAAAAGTGCGACATGTACATGAATTCGGACAGGGAGGTTAACGTCAAGGCGTCAGAGTCGTGGTTTTTCAGGTGACTTCAGATATCAAACCTAATCAACCCGTCGAGCATATCATTTACACACATGTGAAGACCCCGTACAAGGATTTGATACTTGGTGAAACTGTCCATAGACTGGCAGTACGCGCTTGGTACGTGATATCCTTGCATGACGACATGACTGGCCTATCAAATGATACGGGTCCTATAGCAGCGATACAGCGACGATGTCAATATCCAGCATGAATGATAACTAAACTGCACTGAATTCATTGAAGATAGCATGTTCGGTTAAGCTCGAGCTCCAAACGTGTAACCAAAAATCAATCGTCTTAAATTTATGTGTCCATCTTCATCAACTTGTAAAAAAATGCAAGACCTGAGTAACGACAAATGGGTCCAAACATCCAAAATCAGTCTCCTGAACATGAGAGATGTGAGGATATAATACAAACGGGTTGCTTTGATCAAAATTGAGAAAACAGGTTGATCTGAATCCATAGAGTCTCGAGAGCGAATGCTTAACAGGAGCACCTCCACAAGATATGAACCTGCTCACTCCTGGAATACTAGAGGACGCAATTGAAAAAGATTTGGTATGCAGGAAACCCCTGGACCATCACATAACCTTTTTTCTCTACACTAGTATGTGGGATCCCTGGGGTGTGCGTTCCTGAGAAGCAGATGTTCGCAATTCTATCAGGTAGCGAAACTCAAAACATAATAGGGTGAGGGTACCAGCAGGAGGGATTGAAGAGCTGCGGTAGGAAGACTACTTCTTAGCGTATGAAATCTGCATGGGATTAGTTGGAGTTATCTTGAAGTTGTGAAGAGCTTGAAGTGCAACAGAAGCCTGCATTTCATCGCCAAATTCAATGAAGGCAATTCCTGGCTTGGCTTCTATCATTCGTACTTCTTTGAAACCTGGGAACTGCTGGAACAACATCTCAATCATAAGGTTATTAGCCTCCCGCGGCAGATTCTGTGCGAAAAGGATGTTGTTGGGAGGAGCAGGAGGTTCCTGAGCTGCTGGCCTTGGCGGAAACTGAGGAGTGGGTGCAACCTGTAGAACATGATAAAGAAATTAGCAGCCGTAAACTAGAATCTCCACAATCCCCAAATTAATCGGTCGTCGTCAGAATCATGTAATATGTCAATGAAAAATGGACACTTGGATGAAGTTATTCAACCACTAACTATCGAACAAGACTCCAAGAAAATGGAAAACAAGGAAAGGGTAACTAATGCTCCATCGGTTCTGACTGAAGACTCACAGGAGGAGGTGCTCCATAGGGTGGTGGGTACGCCGAAGCTGGTGGTCCAGCCGCTGGGGCTTCGGCTTGGTGTTCACGTCTCTTCCGTTCAGCTGCAAGAGTTAAATGTACGTTACAAAACTTCACTTCCAATTCCATCATGAGCCCTACTGTGAGGCGTTACACACCAACACATCTCCCTCAATTCACGCTTCGATGGAAGTAATTGCCAAGATTTAACATCAAAAGTGTCCTTAGTGAGAGTTTCATGCACTAAGAGCATCTTGTGTGATGTGGACGATAAGAACTAATAATTACGTGTGTAGTTTTTGATCTCAGAGTTATCTAGGAGAGAACATGTTTATAAGTGATTCTACACGAACAAACACTACTGGGACCATCAACACTACAAGAAAGACTACACGGATAGAGTAACACGCAGTCACACAAATACTCAACGAATGACTACTCTGTTTACAGAATATTTTCCTTTTCACAGATAATGTCAGTGTATATTGCTAATATATTTATCACTCACCTTTCTCGTCGTTCTTCTTCCTCTTTTCTCTGGACACAAAAGTTCCATCTGCCTTTGATACAGCATCTGACTTAGACTTAGCGTATTGGATTCTCTGCAAGAATCACAAACCAACCAGATAGATGTAAGTAATACGCTTAGTGACTGCCTGTACAGAGAGAATTCGTATCAATGATCGTTGTTCAACATTAGTTACCAATGAATGCCCAAACGAGTAAAAACAATCAACCCATGAAAATGTAAATCTTTCTTCCGTTTCTCCCGGAAAGCAAAACCTTGACCGATCAATGCATAATCCTTTACCTTTGAAGATCGGCAATCTGTGAGAATGAGTAAAAGTATCTCTTTCCGTATTGTAATACAAAAATAACTGACCAAAGGATCATTGAGCTTCTCCATAGCGGAGTTATTCAGCAAAAAAATACACCGAAAGACCTGCTCGTGAATGATAACAATTACTACTACTGATTTCTTGAGAACCAGCTTACCATTGGCTTGTCGTAAAAGGGGAAGCCCTGCATTTGACGCAAGGCATTTGTGGCAGCTGTAACATCGTCAAAAACAACCCAAGCTTGGCCTCGCAGCTTAAGAGTTTTGCATGCGACAATGTCTAGAATTTTCCCAAACTGAGAAAAGACGGCATACAGACTCTTCTTCAATTCTGCACAATAACACATGATCAGCAAATATTCAACATTCGGCATTAAGGGGCACAGCTGGAACAATAATGACAGGTTCTGTGATAGAAAACCAAGAAAAATCTCGAGAAATAACCAACATCTATAACCCAATGCAAGATTAAGACAAACTACGGCAAGAACTGGTGCAAGATTTTATTTCACATGTCACTGAATTACTTAGCGGCCTAACAATCGAACTCCACGAACGAAATATGTGAGAAGATCTGAATCTCAACTGATTTACTTCTTTCATGCATAAACCCTAACGTGATGACGCCTAGCACTTCAGCAAAAGACATTTGACTGTCACTCACGTCGAGGAGGTTGCTGCCACCAACCCGCTAAAACATCTAGCCTTCATTTGACTCATAATAAAAAAAACGAATCTAAGATCCACCTAACGTCATTGTCCACAAAACCCCAGGCCCAGCACAATCATCCACCGGTTCGAGCAGAACATTTGACCACAAGATCACTCACAAGCTACATCCTCACATTTTAGCAAGCAACATTGTCCAATGATGGTCGACTACAACCTCTGAACATAAAACAGAAGACACTGATTTTCACTACATTCGAGCTGTGCTTCAATCTGCTGTACAGATGCTGTAAATTTCAAATTTTTCCATTCAACATCGAGCCAATCTGCGCACCTTCTTTCTTAATCTTTTCATTGAGATTGTTGATGTAGATCGTCTGATTCGGGGGCGTATCTGCCTGCATCGTGGCGAGAATTCAAATTGAAAAACTACAGAACACAATCTATGCTTGCGTTGTGCTCTCAGTTCGCAAGCTTCGTCCTCCTTCCCTCCAGTTTCAAGCTTCCTCGATGCTCTGTCCACGACACTCCGTCGACTGTGACCTGGTCTCCACCTCAGCCCTAGTATTGCGCTCTGCACCACACATTGAATTCCATGTCATCTTCCATCTGGCTGCATCACGTCAGATTGCTCCTTGGGTTTGGTCTACTTTCTCCTCCACGTCACCTCGATTCAGACATCGAAAATCTCATGCTCGGCATTCTCACTCACTACTATTTTTTAAATGCTTGAAATATACTTCTTGTTTTGAGACTGATGTATCTCAATCTAATAAAAATTTATGATGTAAAAAGCAATTTACAAAAGAATATTAAATTAACACTCATTTGGTGTCCAAAGTTTTCATCATAATATTTAAATATGTATATGATTAGCATACTAAAATTTGATTTACGGCAAGATATAATGATTCTTAGGACATATTTGCTTCAGGAGACCCTATCAATAACATATTTGTTTGATGGTATACATCAAGTTTCATTTTACCCGATGAGATCGCAACAATGACCCATATCAGATTGTTCTAGTATGATCAGACGGTGAATTCGTGAGACACTTAAACTGTACAGTGGAAGATTCAATCTAGCGCCACTTGATTGGAGAAGACATGGTGCTACTTCCAGACAATACGCCCGCACAACAACTATAGGTTTGGCAATCAGCAAACAGAAAATCTCATCAAACCTCGGTGACAACTCTTCTCCTCGCACCTTACCACCGCTCTCAAGCCAACTAAACTCGGAGCAACCACAACGCCTCGCTCACGAGCCCTAACTCGTGAATGATTTGCTCGCAGAGTCAATTTACACAGAAATCTGGCCCGAATCAAGAGAATTTTGGCAGTTGAAGAATGAAATCCTGATATTAGAACATTTACTAGTGCTCATCGACGGCACACCGTCCGTGGGGTTCCATTGGGTAAGACGAAACTTGATGAGTCACATCCATCAAATATGTACTCGATGAGATCACATCAAGCAAATCTCTGTGATTCTTAGAATTCAATAGATTTTATAAACTTGGACATAATCTGGTTATTTTGTCACGAATTTCAATCAGAAGAATACCAATCATGTATATTATTTCTAGATTATAAAAACTAAATTCTAAACTAACACCCAACAAAAATTTTAGTTTGATTTTTTCTGAAATTTTTTTAAAAAGTTGATCCAATTTGACATTGTTTTTTATTTACTTAAATTCACTTTGGTATTTTATTATTTTTCTAGATTCATTATTTCAAATTCTATATTATTTATCATTCAAATCTTTAAATTCTAAATCAATTGAAAATATTTTTGAAGATTCAAAATTGTTTTCATTAATTATATTTGATAATAAATGAATTTTTAGTTGCAAAGAATTTAATGTTCTATTTCAAAATATGACATGGAAATTCGAACATATGTTCTTCTCTTAATCTCATTTTTAAGAATTTTCGGTTCAAGATAGGCTAAGAGTAGATGTATCTATCTTGAATTTTGTTTTTGCAAGTTAAAGTGCAATACAGAGTATTTAGTTTGACTCATAATCTTTAAAATAAAATAAAATAAGTCACATGATTTACAAATTTGAGGAGTAATGAAATCTTAATTTCGATTTTTTTCCAATCTACTACATATCTTTCTGATAAAATACAAGATAAAAGTTCATATCTACATGTATTTACATATCACTATCATAAGCTATAACATACCGAAGAAGCATAAATATTTTATATAAATCAGTAATCAAAATCAAGATCACATTACTGAATTTTTCAATTTGGCAATTAGATGTGAAACTGATCAATATATACATATACATATATTAATGCACACACTCATTGATAATATTTTCAATCATGGTTTATTAGATTTTTTAGTATGTTTTTGAATATGTTGTGCAGAGTAAAAACCATGAAGAAGATTCCTTTATAAAATGAAATCTTTATAATTGTAAATTTTTTTTAAACGTATAAATTTATCTACATAAAAATAAAATGTAAAAATTAATGTGGATGGACACAAATCAAAGTAGACATTAAACGAGTGAGTGTGTAAAGTTTAAAAGTGAAACGATATCCACAATATAGATATTTATTTCAGGTATATTGACATGTCTGAATCAATATTTGAAGAACTGTTGAAGAACAACCCTGTAGATAAATAATTTGAACTTGGCACGTCACATCAAGGAATATCAAGGGAGCCAAGTGGACATCAAACAACATGAGATGATCCCAGCAAGTTGTAGAAGGAAGAAAACGAACGGATACCGAGTGCCAAGATGCCATAGTACCATTATAAAACAATCATCCCAATTATTTAATCCGTTTACAAACGATATGAGCATTAGATCCGTCATCACGTAACGTGATTGCTCCATAACCATGGTGTATATTTTGTGTAGAGCAAAAGAAACGTCATTCAATTGACATACCATGTTCTCTAGTATGATCGCAAGCACCAAATACGTAAGATTTTGCAGATACAGGATCATGTAACTTTCTGGCTATAGAAACAAAGTTTACATCGTCGTTTTCATCTTAACCTCCACTATAAGATGCCGAGTTTGAGATGATTATTGTTTAAAGCTTTTTTTATTTATTTCCATGAGAAAGGTGACTCTACCTGTAATTTAAGTAAGCATGTGAGCTATTTGTGGGCAAACGTTGGGCGTGTCTATGCTATTCTCAATGCTTCCATGTTAGGGTAATGCGACGCATGATAGTACAAAAGCCTCAAAGAAAGACAAAATCTGGACCAAAAATGTCCAGGGGAAGCCCGCACACAAATAGCCCGGACACAAACACGCAGTTGAGGGTGAGAAGAAAAACCTCTACGTCCTCTGATTAATACTCACTCACCACACCATCCCTCCCCCCCCTTCCAATGGTGTTCCCTAAATCCTTCCATGTGAAACTTTGTCCTATCGCCCGGCCAGATGAATGTCTGTAGAACTACAGAGTGCGCCAATTCGGGTGGACATGTGGAAAGCAGGAGACAGTGAATTGCTAATTCCGTCGCTACAGCGGACTTCATCGAATCGACTGCCGAGCCTCTGGCGCCCGGCCGTTGGAATGAGTCGCCGCAGGAGGCGTTCGCGGTGATACCGTCGCCGATCTTGCCTCCCGTCCCGTCCCGTGCCGTCCCAGAGCCATAGCGTGCGAGCCTCGCGGTCCTCGTTCAAAATCATCTCGCATCGAAGACAAGTCCACGTCCGGCAATGAGCTCCCCTCCCTGCCCTTCCACGTGCCTCCTATCTAACGGCTGAGGCGACGGTCCATTCGGTCGTCATGTTCCGGAGTCCTTGTCTAGCCCTCCCGAACGTTTCGCCCGGAGCTTCCTACTCGGTCATCCCACCGGAGCTTAGTCGGACCGGGTTTCCGACTAACAACCGTCGATCTGCCAATCGATAATGGATTTGTCTATTTCCAGATATAAAACTGCATTTATCGGGCTTTCTGAGGTTCTCGGACCTCGACAAGAGTCACGCGGGTATTATAAATAGCTGCAATTAGGGTTCATTCAGTGCACGGAACGCCCATGTCACGCCCCTGACTGTTTCCGCGGTTGGCGAGCTCGTTGGGAATGGGAGGAATTATCCAACCACATCGAATATCGGATAAGAGCTTGCCTTGCCGGAGCCACTAAAGGCCGTCGGATCTGGATCGCCGAACCCCGATTAGGAACCGAAACCGCATGCCGTCTCAACACAGACCACGAGCCTGTGAAAGCCGTCGTCGCGAGATCTGTGACTCGAGTCAGTCGCCGTCAGATGACGGATCCCACGGCCAGGATGCGGAGATCGAGTCCCGGCAGTCCCCAGCAGCCGAGGGTCCATGCTGGTGCCGAGGACGGAGGTCCTCGTCCCTCTGCTCTTCCTGCGCTCGTCCTCCAGGGCAGGACTCGGCCCGCGCCGGGTCCCGGCGAGGAGTTGCCGGGAAGTGCGAGGGAACGACCGGAAACGGAGGAGAGGATGAAGAAGAGGCGCCGAGTGGAGACGAGAGGAGAGGAGTGGAGTGGAGTACAGTCATCGAGGGGCTAGAGGACAAACGAAGGGTGCAGCCAGTAGAGACCAGCGGGCCGCTCGCGGGTCGGTCATTCAGGCTGGCGGGGAGGAAAGGTTGGCATAGACTCGAGGAGCTTGGCTAAAGACGAAGTGGCAGATTGGAACCGAATTCTACTGAACTGACTGAAAGAAACAAAGAAAAGAAAGAAAGCGAGAAAGAAGAGGCCGACTACTGACAGCGCGAGAGGAAAGCAGGCACCGCGCGACGCAGCGAGGAGGAGGAGGAAGTGGCAGTGGGGAGGGCAGAGAGTCGAGGAAGGAGAGGAAGGGCAGGAAGGCAGGCAGGCAGGGAGTCATCGTTCTGCTATCACCGTTGGTTAGTTGCCAATCTCAGTACCATCATTATCAGTTAGAACAATCTGCTGCTGTTGTTGTTGCCGTTGCTTTGTGAAGGCGGAGACGCATTTTTGCCTCGGAGTAGATCATTCGTTGCGTTCTGACGAGACGACAGGGTGACGAGAGAGAGGAGGGCGGGTAGGAAGGACGGACGAAGCGTCCGACTTAGATCGATCCACAGCGAGGCCTGACCTGTTGTTCGCCCGTCTCTTTTCCCTTCTGCGAGGGAGCAGGGGAGACGGTGTAAAAGTACGTACACAGGGGAAGAAGGGGGACGGAAGGGGAGGAGAAAGAGAGGTTAGCGATGTTGTTGTTGGTATGGTTTGTGTGTGCGGGGTTTGTTGGGGAGCACTGAGACTTTTTCGGGAGTGGAGCCAGTGGCGTTGAAACCACAGTAGCACGAACTGGTTAGACGAACCGGAGGCAGAAAGGGTGCCCATCGAGGCCGGCTGCTTGCGCTTTCGCCCTCCGTGTCAGCGAACGTGCACGACGCTTTCGTTTGATGTACAGGTCTCGAATCGCTGGCTGATTGACCATTTGTATGTGTTGCGTTTCAAGGTCGACAGCTCATTGACAACATACCCTCTCGGTCCCTACTTGACGACGGTAATTGGGTCGAGGATTGGTGGTTTCGAGCTTCAGGTCCCGTGCGCGGCACCCTACTGTCTGAAGTGTTGGTAGATCTCTTGCCGGACCTGAGTGTAAAGGGCTTTGGTTGAGTCGATTTGTTCGATCAGCCTGGTGGAATTCACGCGGTGGCAGGATGAGGGTCCCAACCGGGTCGAATTGTAAATGATCTAGACTGAAGACGATGAGACACGGCCTAGGAGGGCGACGAGCTTCTGTTAGGACTTGGGTGATTACGTGTGAACTAATGGATATCTGGATCGAATCCTGAGTGGTCCGAATTCAGGTTGTGGAGAGGAAGTAGATGTAAATATGAACAGAAAAAGAAGAACAGAAGTCGCTTCGCATGGTTACGTGGACTCTCGGCTGTTCTTGCACCCCGGATCTTTGTAGGTGAGAAGTATGATTTAGGCAGTGACAGTAAGGTGTAGCTTTACGATCAAAGGCGCGGACTTTCAGTGGTTGAAGCTGTCGGAAGCTGAGGGTGTTCCTTGAGTGTGTTGATTCAACGAGGAAGGGAAGTTTAGGTCAGAGGACTCTTTAGAGATCCATACAGAGTTCACAGGGTCGCGGATCAGATTCAAGGATGGCTGAAGGAGCTCCTTCGACACTGGTTCAGTCCCTGACAGACGTAGTGAATGGCATCACACAAATAGGAGTGTACAGAAGGACGCATAAAAAAGAGTGTGCGAATCTAACACGGCGAGTGAAATTGCTGGCTCCTTTGTTCGAAGAGGTGAAAGAGTTGAAAGGACCTCTCCCCGAGGACGCCATCGTCTGCTTCAACGCCCTAGAGAAAGCTCTATACTTTGCGAAACAGCTGCTCCTCTTGTGCCATGATGGGAGCAAACTTTACCTGGTAAGACGCCTCTTCGTGCTTCTGATGTCCGCTGTTTTGTTGAACTTGCTCAACAACTAGTCACCTGTGTCCGACTTGTGAAGGCGTCTGATGGCTTTTGTGCTGGCGTTTTCGGGGTCACTGGGTGGCAAGACAGTCTTACACTTGCTGCCATCCAAGCGCAAAACGTGACTGGTGTATCGTCTACATGAAGACGATACAAGCGTTTACTGCGAATGGTCAATACCAACTTGAGCCGATCATCGGATTCTGGCACAGCATACTACTCGTTCTTAGAAGTTGCTCATGGACCTTGCAACTCCTCTGCGTATCATGGCAAACTTGTCTCGTGCTGGATCGTCCCTGATACTTAGGGCTGGTGTGCAGAACGCGGCTGATTCTACGCGCATCTTTTGCCTGAGCCTTTCTGTAATGATGATCTGATGTCCAAGCTTGTTGTGCACATTGTAGACTTTCATGTCTCAAAACATACCCCTCTTACAGACATTATTGGAGATTTTGCTGTCTTTGAAGGATCCAGGTCTTCAGGGAATTGTGTTATGTATATGGAGCACAGTTGTCAGCAGCTTGACTCCCTCATGCATCTTCTCGTGCATTTACTGTTGGTGAGTTTAATGTTGCTGATCTGTATGGTCATCAGGTCATGGAGATGAAGGCAGTGTCAGGAAAATTCCAAGAGGTGACTGCAGAGCTGGCCCAGGCACTTGACAGTCTACCCTGGGATCAACTAGACGTTTCCGTTGAAGTTCGAGAGCAGGTGAATTTTTATGACGATGTCGTTCTTTATGTGAATACGGAATTGCAAGTATTATTTAGCAGTGCACATCTTTTGCTCCGTCCTGCAAAGATCGCCAACATTCAGTGGAGAGGATGACTCCAGTTTTCACTAGACTAAGACGTACTGAGTTTCCCATTTATCATCCAGGTTGAACTCGTCCATACACAACTAAAGCGGGCGAAGGGTAGAGTGGATGTACAAGATCAGCTATTACAAGATATTGAAACTATCTTAGACCCAGAATGTAACGAGGATCCGGATGAGTCTGTGTTGGAGCGGCTTTCCGAGCAGTTGGAACTCAAAACTATGACAGCAGTTAAGCAAGAACTGAAGGCTTTACAAAGCTTCGATAGGGGTGGAAATGTGGACGAAGGTTTGAAGAAGATGTATCATATTCTGAAACACCTTACCACAGTCGCGTCCAAGACAGACAACATATCGAGTTCCGATCTCAAACTTCTCGAGTTTCAGAGTGCAGACAAAGCTCGGAATGCTGCAGCTGCTGCCACTGAGAAATTCTCCTCAGCCGAGATGGCTGAGAAATTCTCTTCTGCTGAAATTCCCGATGATTTTCGATGTCCTATCTCCTTGGAGTTGATGAAGGACCCCGTCATTCTAGCCACTGGGCAGGTCAGTAATGCCTGGGTATGTTTTTCAATCTGATTTCTATTGAATGCGCTGAGACGGTTTCTAGCTTGCTGTGACACTCGGAGGGATGTATTGGTTTCAATTCTTCTAAACCGGGATGATGTTGGTGCAGACTTATGAGCGAGCATGCATTCAAAAATGGCTGGACGATGGGCACCGTTCATGTCCAACGACGCGAGTACCCTTGCCTCATTATAGCTTGACACCAAATTATGTGCTGAGAAGTCTTATCGCTCAATGGTGCGAAACGCATGGGCTCGAAGTGCCCAAGAAGAATAACCGCCCTGGCAAACATGGCACGCACTGCGCGGATGTTTCCCCCGATGCTGCCGCTGTGGAGGTTCTTCTGAATAAGCTTTCCACGGGAAGTTTGGATGAGCAGCGGAACGCAGCTGGGGAGTTACGCATGCTTGCTAAGCGAAACGTGGAGAATCGGATATGTATCGCAGAGGCTGGAGCGATCCCTTTGCTTGTCAAGCTTTTGTCTACGCCAGACTTGAGAACACAGGAGCACGCTGTCACAGCACTGTTGAACTTGTCAATAAATGACAACAACAAGGGAGCTATTGTGATGGCCGGGGCGATATATCCCATCGTTGATGTCCTCAAATCTGGGAGCATGGAAGCGAGGGAAAATGCCGCAGCTACTTTGTTCAGCTTGTCTGTTGTTGATGAGAACAAGGTGACTATTGGGGCGTCCGGCGCCATTCCAGCTCTAGTAGATCTGCTTCGAGATGGTACTGCAAGAGGAAAGAAGGACGCCGCCACTGCTCTGTTCAATTTGTCAATTTTCCAAGGAAATAAGGCCAAGGCAGTGAGGGCGGGTGTCGTACCTCCGTTGATGAAACTGCTAGTAGATCCTAATGCGGGTATGGTCGATGAATCTCTAGCCATACTGGCGATATTGGCGACACATCCGGAGGGTAGAGTGGCGATCGGTAGTGCTTCTGCCATTCCAATTTTGGTTGACTTGATTAGATCGGGATCACCACGAAACAAGGAAAACGCTGCCGCAGTTTTGCTTGCTCTAAGTATGAGTGATACGAACCATCTAGCGGACGCTTGGAAACGGGGAGCTCAGGGTCCTTTGGCGGAACTCGTTCGAACTGGTACTCAGAGGGCTCGGCGGAAGGCAACTCAATTACTGGATCAGATGAAGAAGCTAAACTTGGACATAGCAAAGGAGAATCAATAGCATCCATCGTCTGTACGCTTCGGATCCAAATCATTAGCTCCCCTGGTAAGCAACCTACAGGTAGTGAAGATGGTCGAAGATCATTCTTCCGTTTGTGTACTCTAAATTCATCGCAGGTGCCTACACCATTGTACTTATAGGTACGGGAGATCAATCATGATGGTGGAGATTTTCCTTGTCCCTTGGGTTTGAGGCTTGATTCCCTCCTTACCAGGAACTTTGAGGACATAACATCTGCTCAAGACATACAAGAGGTTTGTGTCTAATTGCAGGTGCAATTTTTTTCATAACTGGAGATTGAGGGTCTGCCAGGATATCTCCGCAACTCAAAGAGTAAATTGCCATGACAAATGGCATGTTTAGCTGGTTGGCTTCTACAGCACTCCGTGGAGTAAAGTGACGCTAGTCGTACAGTTTGTCAACGAATTTATATCATTTAAAAAGTGGTCCCAGAGATAGTCGCCCTCCCTCAACTCTGAATGTCCACAATTACAGCTGTTTCCATCGACATGGCGTAAGCCGTCCTCTGTCTGTAGATTTGATGTGGACAGGGGATAGCGAATGAGATTCTATCCTGAAGTAGCCAGAATAGTTTGAACTCGACTGCTGCCTTAGAGTTCCATATCTGATGAGCAAGAATATTGATCCTGTAGTTCCCTTATTCATTAAGTTTCGTTGTAGTCCCGGTCGAGATCTATAAAAGCCATTCAATTTCCTCTACTGTAATTATTTCCAACATGGTTTGGGCTTAGATTCAATGTGGTTCATTTCCCTTTTTATGATAGCGGCAACTTCTGCCAATTTTTTTCACGTGTAAAAGTGACTTTTACTCTGTTCTATTCATTTTGCAATATAAATTAAAGCAACACTGTTGCTCAGAGTCCACACTGTTTTGGAGACTTCGAACGCTCGATATCTGTGCTCCTTGTATTTTCGTTTATAGAGTAGAATCTTTAGTCTATGCACATCTGTTCTGTTGACTTGTGTGCCGAAATGGGCTACAGGTGTAACGATTACAACACGTTTGACTGTTCGCGTGTCATCGTGCTGCGATAAATAATCTCGAAAGTCCATGGCTTAGCTGCGAAACGATTTCATCTGAACGGAACCATGGAAAATGTATGTGGACACGCTTGTAGACCAGATCGCTTTGCTGGACAGTACAAGAGCTACGGCTGTGATCCCGCATCCCTTGTAGTGTGTGCAATGCCTACAGTCCGCGCGACCTAGTGTCATGGTGCTTGCCACTTGGTCAGGGTATTCAGTGTAGTGCGTAGAACCATGCTTATGTGTGAAGCTGTGGCAACCCAATCCTCTCCTGGGCAATATTCTCTGGCTGCTTGCCGATAAACCGTCTCAGGAGCATATTTCGATGGAACCGAATCAGGAGCGGACACGACATTCAGGAGAAAGCGCAAACCCATTTGCCGACGTGAAGAAGTAGACGGAAGTCGGCCGCTGGTTGGTATAGCCACCTCAAGCCAGGGTTGGCCAGCGTCGACAACGTTGAGGCGTTTTAATTGCCGAGAAATCTTAGCTATCCCAAGGGATAAGGCTTTTTACTTTTGACGTTTACTCAGCAACTGCTCTGTACAGCAAAGTCTTCTTACCATTGGGCGGAAAAGTAGAGGAAAACACTTTATGGGACCCAACAGTTTTCATTTTACCGATGGGACACCATTGCAGTCCCACCGTCAATGATGCTCCAATGCTATCTGGGGTTATTTCGAGTTAAAGATGAAGTCACCTCAAGACCAAATCCGGAGTAATTCAGACTAATGGTGCATGGTGTTTCTTAGACATGGCTGCTAACGACTCGCCAAAATACCCTGGCCGACAGTTTCGGACACTCCCCACTCTATAGAGCAAATCAGTAAGTTATAAGAACATGGTTTACGGTGGCCGTCTAATGGGGTCCCAGCGGGTAAAATCAAACTTCTTTGGTCCTTTCAAGACGATTGAGTTTCCAACGGGTCCCATCAAGTAATTTCCTCCCGAAAAGTAGTAGGCACGGAAACTTCCGAGCTGTTTGCTCGATAGTGATTTTCCCTTGCGGCAAAATTGCGAAACTTATGGAACGAATTTAAAGGCCGAGAACAGTGAGAGGAATCGGACAGAAAAAGTCAAAGCAGTCAATTCTAAATGTATCACGTTATAAAACCGCGAATTACACATCAGGATCCGTTGATTTGAAGGAATTATTATTTAAATTTGACGTGAAATATGCTCAAATTGAGGGCAGTAGACCGTAATCTATCATCTAAAGAACGCCGAATTACAAATGTGAAAAATTTAAAAGATGAATTGGTTCAGATCATCATCCAAATGGTTGAGAATGAATGCGAACGAAGTGCGGAAACGCAAATCCTCAAACTTGGGTACTGAAGTCACCGATGTTTCTGCTGTGCTTCGGGATAGCTGACGCAAGCCACCCATTCTTCTCCGGGCAGTTATTGGAACGAACGCAACAGAGCTGAAGAGCACAAACGGAGCCGTCAGACGAACGCCTAAAGAAACCGTCAAGACTGCGTCGAACAGCGCAGTTGCATGGATATAATAGTATCTCGCCTAAATTAGCTAAATACGTATAATTTAGTCTATTCGAAAAAATCAGTTTAGTCTATTCAAAAACATTAATTTAGGCGAATTTAGTCTCCTTACCAAGTTCATTTAGACTAATTTAGTACATTGAAAAGTTAATTTAGACCAATTTAATATTTGAAAATTTAATTTAGGCTAATTTAGTTTATTAATATTTTTTTCAGAGAAAGTTTCTTTTAAATTTTTCAAAAAAATATATTATATTATTGTATAAAAAATAAATTAAAAATCCATCTACTCTACATACGTGTCCATTCTCCATTGGTTATAACATGCACACGTCAAATCCTAATTCCCTTAGTAGCCTAATCACCATAAAATTTAAGTAATTTAGGCGACCCTATATACAATCGCCTAATACAACCATGCCTGCCATGAGGGGATGAATCATGCTCTGTTTGTTTTGATCCGTTATTCAGCAAGGCATGGGATTGTTTAATGTGCGCTTCATGCATTTGAGTGAGTTGTGCAGTGCGTTAGCTCTTCATCATCAAATGGGAGAAAGATGAAGGAATTCAACGCTCAAAATGAATATCGCCAAGCCATCAAACAAAAAATAGTGAAATGATAGCTTTCATTCTAGCAAACTTGGCATTTGCGAGACTTTATGAGGCCTGCCACAGAGTAATCTTATACATGGACAACAGTAGTGGCCAAACAAAAAATTAACGGTAAGACAAATGATTTGCTCATCACGAATCATGAGGACATGATGAACAAACGGATTTTAGATTAATGCACTCGGTTTCTACAACATTATACCTACAAAGAATGCATAACAATCCTAAACTTTTTAATCAACCAAAAAACATATAATAAAATTATTTAAAATCCATGAATGTGATACATAAGTTTGTATTAGCATAATTATACATTGATTTAAGTCAAAATAACTGTGACTACATCCATAACTCTGATATTTTAATAATTGGATTTAAAATATGGTTATGTATAATTTTCTTTATTGAGCATTGAGCATAGTACTTGTTAGAACTTCTTTAATACAAGGATAGATATTCTAGATGAATACAACAACATATATTACATCTTTGATAACACAAAAAATATGGCACTTTTTAGAACTATCTTGTATTACCATTTACCATTATCATTTATTCTTTATCTTTTGCCATCCAAACGAAGTGTACATTTAACGTGTCAACAACAGTGGTCTTGCTTTTGAATGAAAGGATAACAAAGGCATTCAAGTAGCAGATGCATACTCTTGATGTATCTACTTCACTAGATGTTATATTTGAAAAGTGACATATGCAATTTTAATCAAAACCTTATTCACTATTGATTTAATGCACAATCTATTTGGTTCAGGTATATCACAAAGTAATTATCCCCATTGAGCTATCCTCACTAGATCATATCCAGTAATTACATAGTACTTGAGATCGAAATTATGAAATAAACGTATTTATAAACTATATAACAACTCTACTTTATGAAACATATATATTTTTTAAACATGAATCAGTGATTCAAATGTGATTCAAAATCACATATGATTTGATTTAAAATGAAAAGAGAAGAAGCTTGTAGAACTATGAGGTTTTTAATCATTAAGTGTACTCAATATGTGTTAATCATAATTCAGATTCCTCCTTTTCAGGACTTCATAATTAACATAATTAACATAATTAAAGACTTGCGCATCCATTCCTTAACTATATTTATCTCCAATCGAATTTTTTTGTGCATATCAAGCAAGTTATTCTTGTGTAAATTTAGTTTTCAAACTTCAAGAATGATGTATAAAGATAATTGCAAATATTAGATTTACTCTTTAGGCATCATCAAAACAAGTTCATATTCAAGCGTTTGATGGTATGAAAATGTTGTTCCACAAATTTGCATTACAATGCCAAAATCAGAATGAAGAAGTTATTTTCTACCGATGCGACAGAATCAAATAATATATGAAGAAAGTAATGGTTACAATACCTTGTTGAGTTACTTCATACCTTGTAATTAAGGTATACACAGAATATTACCATTAGAGGTTAAGTTAGCTACATATGCTCTAATCTTCAAATTTATTTGAGGTAAAATAAACCTAACAATCATCAACATCATTGGCAAGCCTTTAGACGCACAATAAGATTTTAGAGCCATTATAAATCTAAGCTATTGCATGTGTTTCTTGATGCTTTTCTGGATAGAAACAACATGTACTTATGATTTGTTGACAGTCCAATTACGCTTATGAGTTGTAATATTTCTATCCAGTGAGTTGTGATACTTCTAGCCAACTACACCATGTTTCACCAACATCATCTTCATCTTTCAGCTCATATATCCTCCGCGTAGCTTTAAGGCTTTTAGCCCTTTAAATTTTTGAAACACAAGTTATACATAGTTGTGTAGTTTGTGTTTTTCATGCGTAGCCAACTGAAAATCTTTCAATGAAAGAAATCAAATCTGAAGAATTTTGTTAGAGAGTGAAGACTTGTTCGGAATTGGACACTTATTAATAAGATAATTTTGATTATCAATTAGTCAGATTCTAATTTTGACCTCCAGTTCATAATTTAGAGAAAACTCTTCTAAGATTATGAAATGGGGGATATTACATATTGTGTAAGAGGCTGTATTAGAGTTAGGGTAATCAGATTGGAACATGTTTTCATGATGAGATTCCAACAAATCATAGGAAGTAAACCCAAACGAGAATAACCCCAAAGGTGGTCTTCACACATAAATCACTTTTGGGCTGATGCGGCGAGAGGGATTAAGTACATGGGAAGAGTGGGTAGATATTTATGTGAAGGTGGGCCAAACAAACACGAATGCAACTTCAAAAAATTTCAGATAACCAAAAAATCTCGTGACTTTATTAGTTAATGTGCTGCATTAGAATGAAGAATTAGATAAAACATGGACTTTATTGAATATTTCTGAGAGACTGGGGAAGGACGGAAAGACTTGTTTTCCAATCCCAGCAGCAAATGACACAAGGTTGTGGAACAAGCGGAGGCAGGTACAACCGAATGAAAGTCTTGTTAAATAAGACATACGGAGTTTGCTTAAATTGGCTTGCTACATCGTTATAGAAATAGAAATTTGAATCCGATTCGACTGGACGAGAATCGTTCTCCTTCGCGCAGATCTGGAAATTGTCACGCCCAAGCACTGGACTCCCGCGTGACCCGACACGGGCTAATGACGTATCGAGAAGGAATAAGAAATAAATAGCATGAACGGAAAGCTGTTGATCTAATCCACTTTGATAGCGTGGGTGGATTCAAAAAGTCAGATAGTGTAATCCTCTCATTATGACCCAATAATGGGAACGCGTT